GAATGTCCTTCTCAATCCCTCTTGGAATCATGCCAGCCCATGCAAACCCTCATGAATGTCCTTCTCAATCCCTCCTAGAATGCATGCCAGCCCATGCAAACCCTTCATGACTTTCCTTCTCAATCCCTCATGAAATGCATGCAAAAGTTCTTGGCTCAATACTACTTTAGAATTGGCCCAATTCTAAACTAGTATTCCCCCAAAGCAAAATAAGAAAAAACAACATGCCCAATACTACTTTTGAATTGGCCCAATTCTAAAGTAGTATTCGAAAACCAAAAAAACTGAGCCCAATACTAAACTCCTTTAAACAAGGCCCGACCCTGAAAATTCTCCCCTAATCTTTATTATGGTCATTCAGGGGGGGGGGGGGCCCCCCTATTTATTAATCATAGGTCAACATTATTTGTTTGCGGGTACCTTTTGATGGATGGTGCTGAACAGAAACCGAATGCGGCCCATTTCCTCTTCTGAGACCGTCAAGCGTTCCAAGCATGTGCATGCTGATGGAAGCATGCCTGTTCAATCAGCAATTTCCATCAGAGCGCAGAATTGACCTTCAACATATGGACCCTGAACACATTTTTCCCCAAGATAGGCTGAAGCCGTGCCCTACATGTTGTTTGCATGCACACTCAACAACACAGGGTGCCAAATGGGGAGACGTAACAGCCATGTCGATTTGCTGTTGGCCTCCTGCAGGGGACAAAATAAAACCCGTCGGGTATTTGGCAGATTCCTGAACAAAATTTTCCCCATACTAAAGACCCAGACAAAATAAGGAAATAAGAAAAGCGGCATTGCTGCCAAAAATCCCTACCAATGGGTTGATGGTCCTCCCTACCCTACTACTTTGACGTTCAACCGTAACCCAGGATGTAAATCTGCTCTTTGTTCGTCCGCTTAGTTGACGGCAAAGACGCACGATGTTCCCAAACGATGACGCAGACCACCCCGAAGAGTGCCGAGGCGCGCGTGGCGGCAAAGCCTCGCAGGGTAGTCCCCGGGCCAATCCAGTGCGCCATGCAGGGGCAATGAGAATTGGGGCAGGTCTTCCTGAAGCGAATGCCGTCGGGCTGAGTGCTTTTCCCAAAGCAAAAACCTGGCTAAGTCAACCCCTTTTGGACACACAACCACACCCACAAAACCCAGGTTGGTTGCAAATGTGTGGAGGAAAGATGCCACGTCCAACCCCCCAACTCTTAGCCCAAATTCAGGGTACCCCAATCAACAGTAAGATGCACACTAAACTCGGAGGAGACTCCGTTTAAAAGAGAAGCCAAAAAGGACTTTGTTGAAACAGTTTGATAGCTTAAACCATGAATCAGAAAGGCACGGCAAACAACCAAGAAAGCAAGCCAACTAAGCAGACCAACCAAGCCAGCAATTCCAAACAAAGCAATGACACCAAAGCGAAGCGAATCAACTACGACAATCTAAACAAGATTGAAAGAACTTCACAAATGCAAACCCACCCAACCGAATCGCACCAAGCAAAACAAATAATTCAACCAGCCAGGCCAAACCAACACCAATCAATCAGGCAAACCAACAAACCAACTAAACCACCGACGCAACCAATCCAGCGAAGCCACACCACAGCAACCCAAACTTTTAGGTTTTCCCTTGAACATGAAAAAGGCCTCAACATGAAAAACCTCAAATAGCATTCCATTTGAGGGGGAATACCCACCCAAGTGGTTGGTGCACTTAAGTTTCCATGAACATGCTGTCCACCACATGGTCAACAATCAACTGTCAAGCCAGATTTGCCCTCCCCCGGTTCGTTTTGTTTTGACAAATGCGTTTGATTCTGGAAAACCTAACCCATACTCAGTTGAGGTTTCTCCAAACGTGGGCCCCCTGTTGGTTGGAATTGGAAGCCCCCAATCTGGTCCTCGTCCCACGCTCTGCCCTCTGCCGGGCGTCTGCGCGGCGCCCGAAGACCCTCCGCACGGAGCCCCCGGAATTGGCGGCGCAGGAGCAGAGGCGCCGGCGTGGCAGGAAGCGCCACATGGCGCTTCAAGGGAAGCCAAGAGGACACAAAATATCGTTGAGGCCTGAGGCAAATAAACCTGATGTGTGTTGAAGGGTTTTCCATTCCAAACTGTCCTGCGTTTGGTGTGTTGCTAGACAGGAGCGATGGCATTCTACAATATCTGGATGGAGATCTGTTCCCGTTGTTTGCTTCTACAGCTTCTACTTGTGAGTGCAAATAACTATGAATGTAAGAGAGCATGTGTGGATACATGCCTGTGTGAGTGAAAGCGTGCGGGCGTGCAGGCTTGCAGGTTCGTGCCTTTGTGTGTGTCTGTGCGTGCGCGTTTGAACGTGTATGGAGATGACAATACTTTGCTCGTTCCGTGTTGCAGCAGGTATGGCGGTTGGCACGCAGGTCCGTCGATGACTTGAGCCAAACAAAGCATTCGCAAGTGGCGAAGGGCGCCTAGGCTGCGGGCATTCGCATTCTCAACTGGAAATGAGGGCCGCTGGTTGTGCACTATCTATTTCCCCGCCAAGGGAAACTGTGGGAACTGCAAAGCAAACCTCGTGATGGATGCGGATCTGTATAGCTAATGAGGGGTGGGATCTTGCCGCATTGGATGGAGGCTGAAGGGAAAGGTGTCACCGCTGCTGGGGAGGGTTAGATCGATTGTCTGACGATCTTTGTAGTTTGGCTGGAAGGGTTTCAGAGGAGCTACTCGTGCGTAATAGACTATTAAGTACTGGTGTGAAAGTGACTTTCGGGTTGCCCCTGGAATGCGAACTGAGAAGGTCCATTTCAAAGATTTGCCCGACTCGCCTCGATCTTCCTGAAATGTCTAGCGTTTGTGGTTCACGTATAAATAAATATATGTGTATGTATATATATATATATATATGTGCTGACCCACCCCCAACTGTCTACCATGTTGTTGGTTTCAATGGTATTTGCGGTGTTTTCTGCCTTTGTTTGTGCGTTGGGCAAAGCAGCAGAAAAGGGGTGCCTGTTTAACATCCATTTCAAACTCTATCTAGACACTGGAAAAAACATCCTGGGACAGGAAGTCCTCTTTAAAATCTAAATTGCAGAAATAATCACAATTAAACATGTACTTCCAAAAGGAAATCCGATTTAAATCATCTGGGTCTGGGTCAAAATTAAAGCACCGGGGGACCGCAGGTTTTAGTCCTTGGTTCCATTTACTAGGGTTCCAAAATGGAACCCATTTTTGACCCACAGCCATCTGTAAAACTAGAAATTATATTAGGATGTGTCACTGGTGATTTCTATTTGGATTTCAATTAGAACGTTGAACAACTCAGTCCTAGAAAAAGAGGCCCCCTTTAAAATCTATTTTGAACTAGGAACTCCAACTACAAATACTATTTAAACAAGAGCATATTTACATGTTCGTTAAAATAAACTCTCTACTATATAGAAACTATGTCCTTATGAAATTGTCTTTGTATTCCATTCAAACAATAACAATAGAAAGCGGTACAATGTTTAATGTCAAACAAGACACTTAAATACAAATATTGTTTGAAAATAAAAACCTGTTTAGATTCCATTTAAACTAGACATCCTACTAGGAGTGTGTCCTTATTAATGTCCACTTCAGTTCTATTATAGTAGAAAATTAAAACACACGTCCTAGAAAAGAGAGAGGCCCCCTTTAGAATCTAAATTGAAATCATACTGCCAATTAAAACCTTCTTTTGAACCACGCCTATCTAAATGATCGTGAAAACTAGACACTCTTCTAGAATTATGTCCTTATTAAATTCCATTTAATATGTCATCAACAAATAAGAATGGAACACGGTTCTAAGTGTAATGTCAAACAAGTTAGACGTTTAGTACTAATATTATTTGAAAAGGAAAGCCTATTTAGACTATCTGTTAACTAAAAATACAATTGGATGATTTTATTATTAGTTCAAAAGAATAATCTAAGTCCCAATAAGCAGTACAGTTGAAAAGAGTCGTTGAAAAGGCGATCCGATTTAAATCACTTTTTCAGGATTCACTGGTATTTGCGGTGTGTTCTGCCCTTTTTGGGCTTTGGGGAGAGCAGCAAAAAAAAAGGCTACTTTCCAAAGACAATCTGGAAGCTTTAGGTTTTAAACTTTTTTTCCAGGGAATCTTGAATCCCGGCCCGAATGAAATTTCAGTCGGCCTGGATCTACCTCTGTCCTATTTCTAAGCTGGGGTTTTGCCAGAAGATGGAAAAACGAGGGTCAGGGGCCCAAACCGTTTGAACCGTTCAAACTGTTGAAACCCTTTCTCAGAGGAAAGACCCCACCACCCCCCCCCCCCCCCAAGGCCCAACACCGTTTTAACCCTTTCTCAAAGGAAAGTCCCCCCACCCCCACCCAAGGGTCAGGACCCCATTGAACCGTTTGAACGGTTTAACCCTTTCTCGCAGGAAGGCCCCCCTCCCCCCAGGGTTCTACCAGAGAGGGTTCGAATGGTTCAAACGGTTTAAACGATTTTGGGCCCAGACCTTTCCTCTGAGAGAGGGTTTAAACGGTTTGAACAGTTTTGGGCCCTGACCTTTCTTCTGAGGGTTCAAACGGTTTAAATGGTTGAGTTGAAGAGCCGTTTTCCCTTTGCAGCGTCAGATGTGGTGGGTCGACATTTGGGGGGGAGGCAACATATCTATATATACATATATATATATGTGTGTATTGTACGTATATGTCTGCGTATGTGTATACATATATATATATATACACATATTGCATTCATGTGAGAGCCATGGTCAAACTTCATCCTGTTGGGTCATGGTCATGGTCGTGGTTCAGCGATAGGAATCTTTACACTGTCTTAATCACTGGTTCAGGGGGTTGACGACCATGTCTATCAAGCCCAAGGCAATGTGTGCTTTGACAGTAGCACAATGTATAATATATATATATAGATGTGTTTATATACTATATGACGGAATTGCCATGACAATACTAAGGAGTCTCCAGAATGAACCCCAGCCGTTCAGTGACTTGACCCAAGGTGCAGGTCGGAGGTGGACTGGTGGTCCAAAATCTCTTCGCAGTTGAAGGCCACCTGTGCCAATTGCGCTGCACTTCACATATTGCGCTCCGTGCGAACCCTCGGACCACCACTCGGGGCTCTTTGCAAGCAGTTTGTTGCTCACATGCCACCTGATCGGAGGAATGAAGTGTACTCCCCGGAAAACCAAAGGAAACCAGGCATGTATTGTTCTACCCGGTGTTGATCATGTGGCTCGGAGAAATCCTGCAACAGGAAAATAGTAGGCATGGAAGCGCCCTAGTGAATCCTTCTGCCGTCTGTGAAAAACATGTCGTTGCACGCCCTTGCCAATGCATACAACCCCTTGCCCCAGTGTTCCGGAGCCACTAAACGTCTCCCCCCGCCTTTTTTGGGCCCTGCGTCCGCCGGGCCGGGCCGCCTTTTAGAGGGGATACCAACAAGGGCCCCCAAAAGTTCTGCGAGCCGACGTCGGAAAAAGCAAACGTCGGCCTCTTGGAAGGGCAGCGTCTCCCACTGGTAAGCCTTGTTGAGGTGCAGGAAGGACCAAATCAAGAACCTGCGGCTGGTGCGATAGGCAGGAAACCACTTGGAATGACCCTGAGCCATCTAACCGGTGCTTTCCTTTTAATGGATCAGGAAAAGCGAGAGAATAGTCTTGCAAGGGCTAGAAGGTCTATGTAAGAGGGGAGATGATGTGCTCCAAGAGAACCCAAGGTGGTTTTGCGGAGCAGGGTGCACTCTTGCCCTTCGACCCCTCAGCTCCTGAAGAAAACCGGCCAAACCAAGCCTGCAGGCCAACGCATAGCTACTGAATTCTGAATACGAAGATTTTTGCTAAACCTCAGCACTTTCTCAGAGGATGTTGGACAAGCACAGCAATGCCAAATCCACTCTGCCAGTGTGCCAAATGGTCACAAGCCCAAACCGCGTGCAGCTAGGGCAAGGAAAAAGCAACCACCACAAACTTGGCCTCAGCCAGAGTCGAGTCAAAAATTGAAACTCATCTACACTGTGTTCAGCCTCCCTTCTCCCCCTACTTTTCTGCTTGCCGAACCTCAAGGAGGAAACAAACCATCCACTTCCCCGGAGCATCTCATCCAAGCCACAAGATGGCGGGCGCCACAACGACCCATGCCCGCCTTGGCGAGGTGACGCAAGTGATGCAAGTGATGCAAGTGGAGCAGCTGCTCACGTTGCAGTTGTGACCCCGAGAAAACAATACTACGAGTTCAGCCACAACTTCGCCAGACCCCTCGGGCTCTGGTTCACATGCACCTTGGATGGTTGATGCTTCCGCAACTCTGCGCTCCCCACGCATGAGACAGGAAGGCCGGCCAGCAAGCAGGCAGTGGCATACCGACAGGTGCAACGCATGCATGCGAGCGCGCGAAGCTTGCATTTCCTCGTCCCACATGCCCGCGCCTGCGCGTCTATACTATACCCCCATGGATTAGCTTGCGCCAAGCTGGGATAGTAATGAGTTGAAAGTAAGCATGGTCGCTGCTTTCTGTGTCCCTGTGATTCAAAGCTGGATGCAAGTCTACGTGATAGGCAATTTTGCAACAAAGCATTGTGATAAATGCGGCTTCTTAGAAATCTTTCAAATGACCGCACTGTCGGAAATTCGGCTGGCGAGTGAATTAGGGTGGTTCCGCCAAAAAATGAAGGACTGCCTCCAAAACGAGACCGCCCGGATCAAGATCAACGAGAGTTATTCATCCTTGGTTCCTATTGCAGCCTTGCGGCGAGTCTGATCTCGCCATGATGACGCCCACCTGCGGGGTGCCAAAGGCGAGCATCTGGGAGACTTGACACTGGAAAATGTTATGCCCCTCCCCGAACCAGAATACATAAGTTGGACCCAAATTATCCTTGCGTTACGCTGGACTTGGGGACTTGTGGTAGCAGACCTTGATCGTAAGGCCTTTTACCCCTGATCTCACTACAACTTGTGCAGGGGTGTCTTCGCCCGATCCACGTATTTGTCGTGGGTCCACTGCATGTATAGGTAACATGTATATATGTATATATGCATCATTATATGCACGCATGTGCACAGCATGTGTATATATATATAGTATACGGGTCGGGCCACACTCTTGTTTAACCAGTTCAAACCACTCTTCGTGAACTTGATCAGGCTTCATGTTTATGTTGTTGAAACAACCTCGTCTTGTTTCCCTTTAGATGAACTTGACCAGGGGTTGTGATTTTAGCCATCTTTTCCAGATCACAACAAGGAAAGCATGGCAGGCGCGCCATGAGGATGGAGTACAGCACCAGAGCCAACTGGATGAAGTGAATTTGGGTGGCCCAGAACCTGAGAACACGGATTGGATTCGCGGATTTCATGGATCGCACCGGTTATTCCTTTTGTTGTGTATTCGTTTAGTGTCCTACGAGGTTGAATCCGCAAAGCCGCACAAATGGATGGCCATGGTAAATGATTGGAACTACACTGTAGCTAAGAAACCAAGCTGTGCCAACAAGCAGTTGGAGTCTCGCCTCTCCTGGGTCAGCAAGGCTGTTTGGGCCATTGCCCTGAAGCTGACCCCGAGAATCGTGGCTTTCTTTTTGGTTTGTCGCAAAAATTCCAAAAGCGAAGCCAACAAATGGGCAGAAACCACGCACACAGACCTCTCCATGCAACAGAATGGTTGGCGAGAGCACTGCACCGTTGCAAGCAAAAAGCATAGCGGACGTTTCTCGGTGTTGCCACCCGGCGCCAGCTGCCAACGAGCTTTGCTCACACTCCTGGGCTTATGTTCTTGTTGAGGGTACCATTTTCAGGTGGGTTTAAAGGGGAAAGGACAAAAGGTAATTGGAGAGGCCCCCCCATTTTGACACATACCTGTTTCAAGCCACCTTTTTGCTTCTGGGACCAAAGAGCACACCAATGTTCCTTTGGCCAGGTAGCCGACTAAAGGTCCCTCCCTTTGGAGCATTTTCCTCGAGCCTGGTGGGTTACGCCGTACAGCAAACTACCTCATTGGACCACCACGGCTTCTGCAATTTTTACAATTCCACAACCTGAACCAAGGGATCCCCAGGTAGAAAACCTGGATCATGGGAGCTCGATTTGCCCCTGAACCCGCCCCTTACGACAACCTTCCTTTCGCCAGGCAGGTCAGCTGGCAGGCGCGGCTGGACGAAGGCTGCCAATTCGCTTCGCCAAGCAGCACTCCGCCCAAGTCTGGCTTCTTGGTCTCCTTGGACGACCCACGGCGAGCAATGGTCCTGAAAAATCAACGTCTAGGCAAACTACTATGATTACTATAATTCTCAAACAAGGAACCTTCATGGAGCTCGCTTTATCCAGGTGAACTGTTTATAATTGCCCAAATGTCATAGAAACTTGCAGTGCCTTTGGCAACAGGTCCTGTGACTCCATGGAATCTGTCATGGTCTTTGACAATAGGGGGTGAACAATGCATCTATTGAGAGTGAGAGATAGCCTGTAAACACTGGATTTCAGTCGTGCTGAATCGGCACACTGTGTATGCAGGCATATCAAGCGCAGGTACAACCCATGCTAAAGTGGTGCGTACAATGCTCTTGTACCTCATCCAACCCTCATCCACACACACACACACCAACTATAGCGCTGCTCCTCAATCCCGAACTTAAGTACGTACTCTGCAACTCAGGCAATTCCCGTCGTACGGCTCACAAGCCCGTGCTTCAATCCTATTGACAGTCTCGCTGTGGTGAAGGTGTTGTTAGCAAAGAAGCTTTGACTTGCAAAGGCTGTGTCAGACTGTCCACAAGAAATTATGGGTACAAAAAAGCAAATGTCGTGCGCACAATTGTGTCTATCGGAATGCAGGCATATCTCAGTAGGGATGTGATTGCATTTTGACAAGTCAGCTGTAGGTGCCTCCCGCCATCAACCAGTCACAGTTGGAGGTATCTGTGTTTCCTCTTCATTGATTTGCAGTGGTGCTAGACTTGCATAGTTCAAGAACTTAAGGTGCAGAACGAGCCTTTACTTAACGAAGCGGCGTAGTTGCTTCTCCCATGTGTGTGTGTGTGCGCGCATGGCGCACATCTCCAGCTTCATTCAGGATACTACTTGATATCCCATCTTTCCTCAAAAAACACACACGCACACACACACACACACATACACAAACAAGTCGGCAGGCAAGCAGGCAAGCAAACAGACGAACAAACAAACAAGTTTGCGGATAAACAGACAAACAGACGGACAGACGGACAGACAGACAAACAGATAGGCAGGCAGGCAGGCAGGCAAACAAACCGAGAAAGAAAGAAAGCAAGCAAGCAAGAAAGAAAGAAAGAAACCAACGGGCTCAACATTTCGTCGTCTCAACGCACCTTGGCACCCCGAGTTCGGCCAGGGCTCTGCGTAGATCACCAAATAGCCATAGACCAGCCGGCTGAGGAGCAAGTCGATCATGGCCAGCCTCGTTGAAACAACCAGCGACTGCCCGGTTCGGGGCGGACGCCTTTTGGTGAAGGGGTTGGCCCGACCCTCCTCTTCATGGCTCTTTTTCAATTGAAAGGGATTGCTTCAGCGTGGTTGCTTTTGGATCAAACGATTCAAAGTCAGCAAGTGCTCATGGGAAACAAGGCTGGAACCGATGTGGGCAAATGACCCTACTTCACCGACCTGGATTAAGGAACCCCAGAGGAAGCGACCTTCCTGGGTAAGCTCAAATCTTCCTGTCAGGTGTCTTTTGCAATTAACCCATCATTGCAAGTTCCCATCATCCCTTGCAAGGGTTGCCAGGGGCGCGCCAATGATGGAAGCTCCACAGAAGCGTCTCAGAATGAATCCCAGTTGGTCTTCTTGGGTCCTATTATATAGCTGCCTTCTTGGGCACATATTTGGCATTGGGGGCCCTGTTCTGAAAATGGACCCTGGACCAATCTCAGTCAACTGGAAAGCGATATGTTCTTTGATGGAGACCCTTTCCTTGTTGGGTCCATAGACCGGCGGAAGCTGATGGCGTTTGTCATTGCATGTGTGCGCTGCAACATCCAGATACAGATTGTCTACGCACATACAACTCACTATTATCCCAAACAAGTGTTTGCGATCTTAGCAACAAAACACAAAACATATACTGTGCTCCCTGGTCTCTTGGGCCATCAAAAACGGGTGGACATGCACACCTGGAGCCTTGGCACCGGTTAATCCTCCCCCTCAAATAATAAAGGTCCTCTTAAAAACTACACGTGTTCTTCCCCAATCCCCAAAGTTCTCAATGCTCGACTGAAATTCGGCGGCCAGAGATGGGGCTGGCTTATTCTTGGGGAAAGGGATTGATTAATCTTGTAATGTTGGTTGGCACAGCCTCTGAAAAAACAGTGCAAACCACAGCAGAAAGAAGCAGGTTGCAGGCAACGACCGATTGCCATCCAGCGTATCCAGAGTGGCGCAAAAGCGTTTACTGAAGAGAGTGCTTTGAATGCATGTGCAGTAGCACCCAACATTAGATGTGAGAACTCTGACAGGATGCTCATCTGGTTTTCCCCTCCGACCTCATCACGTGCGACACAGTCATTTGATTTGGCCTCCCTGTGGGTAAATTACTATCATTCAAAAACCGGGAACAAGATATCTGCAAGTCAGTGACCTTCATGGGTGAACTCGGTTTACCCCCTCATGGGTGATCTCGCTATGATGATTTGCCCAGACCCTTTTTGTCATGGATGTGCGCAAGCTCCCGCCCCTCCCCTCTCTCCCCTCCCCCCCCTCGGGCCAACCTCTGGGCACCCAGTGCTTGGTGGTTTGGATCGTCAAAAAAGAGGAGGAAAACAACTTGACAACTGAGGGCGCGGCAGCGTCACAAGAGGAGAGAGGCTGCAGAAGAGGAGTCCCAGCACTACGTTCACCGCCAGGTTCACATTCCGCGCCCCGAATCCAAAAGAGTCCTGACCATGTGACCAGCGCCAAAGCCCGTTCTACCAAACTGGGGATTATAAAGGTTTAAACCGCCTTACTAGAACCACATATCATAGGTGGAAAATAACCTTGTCTGTGATACCAAGTTGGCTTGATCGAAATTCGCAGACGTGCAGGGAGACTTTCTGGCCGGTGCACAGGCTTGCTTCAGCATCTCACTTGGAACAGTTGATCCAACCTGGGTTCGGGGCATCGAAGACGTGGGTGTCGGCCATTCATGTCATTTTCAGCGCGAATCCATGAGCTCAGTAGAATTCGCCTGAAACCCGCATGTTTGGCATGTATATACATACACATACATCAATGCATGTATGTATCTATGCATAGCATGGCATGGCGTGGTGTGGAATGGCGTGGTGTGGCATGACGTGGTGTGGCGTGGCGTGGCGTGGCATGGCATGGTGTGGCAATCTATCCTTTCCTACCCTTCCGATTCTATTCGATCTATCTATATCTATATCTATATCCCTATGTCTATCCCGGTCACAGTTTCGGTGTCTATCTCTATCTCTGTCTGTCTGTCCGTCTGTCTCTGTCGGTCTGTCTGTCCGTCTGTCTCTGTCTGTGTCTGTCTGTCTGTCTGTCTGCCTATCTATCTATCGGTCTGGCTGTCGGCCGAGCCTATCTAGCCTATCTAGCCATTCTATCCTATCTATCCTATTTATCCTATCTATCCTATCTATCCTATCTGTCCTATCTGTCCTATCTATCCGATCTATCCGATCTATCCTATCTATCCTATCTATCCTATCCATCCTATGTATCTATCTATCTGTCTCTCTGTCTAACTAGCTAGCTAGCTAACTAACTAATCCTATCAATATATATATATATATACCTCTATCTATCTAGCAATCTCGTCCGGTCTAGCCTAGTCTAGCCCGATCAATCTAATCTACCGATCTAGTCTGGTCATGCATACATACGTATATACAAATAAAAATATGTGTCCGTCCATCCATCCATCCATCCATCCATCCATCCACCCACCCACCCACCCATCCATCCATCCATCCATCCATCCATCCATCCATCCATCCATCCATCCATCCATCCATCCATCCATCCATCCATTATGCATCCATCCATCCATCCACCCATCCCATCCCATCCCATCCCATCCCATCCCATCCCATCCCATCCCATCCCATCCCATCCCATCCCATCCCATCCCATCCCATCCCATCCCATCCCATCCCATCCCATCCCATCCCATCCAATCCATCCATCCAGCCAGCCATCCATCCATCCATCCAGCCAGCCATCCATCCATCCATCCATCCAGCCAGCCAGCCAGCCATCCATCCATCCATCCGTCTGTGCGTCCATCCAGTCAGCCATCCATCCATCCATCCATCCATCCGTTTGTCCGTCCATCCAGCCAGCCAGCCATGCACCAATCCATCCATTCATCCAGCCATCCATCCATCCATCCATGCGCCAATCCATCCATCCATCCACTGGGTGAACCGCTGTTCAATGCTTTCGACTGTATCTCGAGCTGAAACCCACCATTTTCGGGGAAACCTCCATACATCAGCAGTGAAACCGCCCACCCCGGTGTTGACCGTCCTGATCCTCTGGCTCGGACATCTGCTTTGCCTCCTGGACGAGAACAGGTGGCGCAAGGCTGCTTGGCTTCAGACTGAGAGGAAGGTGAAACTGCTTTTCAGGGCTAAGAAAAGTACCTTGTTGATTTTGATGGGATCAGCCCAAGGAAAAAATGAGAAACGTACTGTGAGGGCAACATTAAAGAAACCTGGCGTACCAAAAATTAGGCTGCTATCATAGGAAATTCCAGCATGCAAGCAGCAAAGTGCTCAACCAGTAAAACCTGGATGGCAGTCTTTGTGACTTGATTTGGCCGTTTGATCTGCCTTCTATTCGTCTAACAACTTCTCCGAGATGCAGAGGTGAAGTTACACATATGACCTTGACTCCTTTCAAGCGAATCAAGTCAACCACTTAATGTCACCTCCTTTCAGCCTCTTCTCGGATTAACTTCTTGCCAAGCTACCCGCACTGCCGTGACGCTTCACTGCCGACTTCACAGCTAACATATGTGTGGCCACTTGAGAAGTCATAACAAAAGCGTCAGCCTCTACAACGAACACAAAGCTATTTTCTCAGAATGATAATTCATGACAAACCCACAGAATCAAAGGCAACACCACGACACCTTCGTCTGCAAACCTGGAAACCGCCATGTGTGCCAAGCAAGGTCGGACTGTGTGGTTACCCTAAAGGACATAGGAAGTCCAACCGGAGACTCGAAAATTTCGACCGAAACTTATGTCAACTTCGGCTGCGGCCCTAAAAGTTCAAAAATAGAGTTTGACCCCTGGTGACCTTTCATTGGCAAAACCCCAGAGATGGCGACCGCTACCCTCTTCGTGTCAACTAACCGTTGCTTTCCTGAGGGCTGAAGATGACTCGGAAGACCAGGAACTTGGCAAAGGGGCTGTAGCGCAGGGCCTCCATAGCATGTCTACTCCACCTCAGCGCAGTCATGGGCATGCGCCAAAACACGGACCCCAAACAAAGGTAGTTCGTGATGTCCTTTTTTCTCCCTGCAAACCAAGTTGAAAAGGGTCCCCTCAAAAAAACTCGTACCACGGAACAACGCATCCGCACCCAGGAAAGGAGGGAGGAAACCAGAGGGCACCCTGCCCCAAAAAAACAAAGGTTCAGAAAAAATTATTGAGCTAATTACTCACTGGGCCGCCCCCACCAGAATGATCCTTACAACCCTTCGATCAGAACCCTAAAGCACGTTCAAAGCTTTCCTGGGCGGGGGCCTTTGGTTGTTTCCCTGGCAAGAAAAAGAACCTATCCAAAGCCAGCCGCAGAAAGATTCGTCAAAAAACAGAAGACTCTTGCGGTCCTGATGAAAGGGGCTGAGAAACTTCTCTCAAGTCAACTGACCCATCGCCTGGGAGTCATGAGTCATACCCCTAGGTGGCATGTGGACTTGGCTCTCTGTTTAAAGCGTCCACTTGGGTGCGGAAGGAAATATGCAATGAGCCATGAAACCCCAATCAAAATGAAATGGAAGCCTTTGGGGTGGCACTCTTAGCGATTGTTTTTGTGCTCAGTTCCATTCATCTCAGATCCAATTGGAATTTGAGAGTGACTGCATGTTTCAAAGACGCAACTACCCCCTTGAACATCCCTGCCAAACAAAGGTTGGCAACCCAAGCCAAATCTACAATCACCAAACTCAAGTCATTGAATGAATGGCGGCAACCTTTCTCTGTTTTGCCCAAAGCCCGAAAGGCAGCAAAAAGGGGAATTCGGAATCCAGCAATTTGATTTTGGGGCCCCCAAAGGGCAACGGATACCTTTGGTCGCCCTTCAATGTCATCCAAGAGGGTCAACCGTTTTCAGCACCAAATCTGCAAACAAATGCAAAACATCTGCGACATCTCCATGCTTGTCTTGCCTCTTGGAGCTTTCCACTGGGCGCCTGGCTGGAGGACCAAGTAGGTCCTTAGCCCAGATATGCAATAAGGTCCCTCAAAAAGGCACATTGATCCGAAGAGCAGATTGTGAGAAAAACAGGCGCCCACAGTTTTCTTGCCAAACCGCCGTAACCATCATGCTGTTCTTCCTTGACAGTGGCAGCTATGCGCTTATTAACCCCTTCACAAACTTTGCTCGTTTGTGGTGTCCAACGCTACCTCTCAGCACAGATTCGTATGAAATATGTCCGACTTCGCGCAGCAGAGCGCGAGCACCACGCAGTAAAGGCGCCTTCTGGCTTCAAGGAACAAAACTATAGCTTAGTGGTTTCAAAGGGCCCCACCAAAGGTGACAGCGGACGTTTGTTCTTGTGCTTGTTTTACTTCAGTTGTTTTGGGGGGAGAGGTTCACAGCAACTTGCAGGAAGGAAACCGCTCCAAATGAAAGTACCTGCGATTCATGAAGGGGGTCGTTCATGCGGCTAGCTTCTCGTCTGCTTGTGTGTCAAAACCAGGGAGCTCGCTTCCGGTTCCCAGCCATACCCTCAGACGATCTTAGACGGTTACATTTTCAGAGCTTAGGTGGACATGCCCCACCAAAAGTCTGA